TTGTAATTATTTTAATTATTTTTATTTCCAAACTGATTTTAACCAGTTCTATAGTAAGGTAACATTCCAATAGACAATATGCAAAGCTTTTTTTTCAGTTTACAGCAGTATTTATTACACAAAATTTAAGTAAAGCTTAACATGCCGATCTTGCCCCGATCTCCCCTATATTACTGTGAATGACCGATATCTGGCGAATGTCAACATTCTCCAGTGAATGTCAGCATTGACACAGTCGTTCATGTATATGTTACTGTAAAAGACCGAAATCAGAGAACGTCGATATTCTCCGGTGAATGTCGACTCATACAAAATACGTCGGTGAAAAACCGAATATTTGGTTATATTGTTATACATTCGAACAATCGCCGGCGTATGTCGACAAGCACAGATAAGCTTTGGTGGAGGTCGAAGAAATTGTTAATACTTTTGAAGAAAATTGAGCAGTGGCCATAACGAATACCATATTCCAAAGGAAAATATTGAAGAGGAGCTACAACCCACCACGTCTTCATATCAAGCCCTGACTGAACAACACGAAGTTATTTTTATAAAAAGAACGGCCGCGAAAGAGAATCTTCTACTGCGAGCAACGAAAATGTTACGAACCTCAAAAAGAAAATTTCCTTCTGCTCAAATTGGTGACACCGTGTGAATACAAGTCCTTGATGTCGACCGTGGCCGTACAGATGCCCGAAATGTGTTGGCGGTTGTTATTGGAATAGAAGACTTCGACTTTTATAAATTAACAAACAAAAATGGTACCCTCAAGCAGCTTTATTCCCTTAATCAGTTCGTAATTTGTAAAGAAAAGTTACTTTACTTTCCATAGATGATATTTCTTCACAAGAAACATCGCTGAGAGAAGCAGCTGCAGCTAATTCGAAAAGCGAAGGGCAAGGCTATACATGATACATGCTGTCGTTGCAAAATAAAGTGTTCCACGAATAAATGCAGTTGTAAAAGCAAGGGACTCTTGTGAAATTCAAAGTGTCATAACAGTTTAAGTTGTTGCAATAAATAAGATTTTATAACGTTAATCACATAATATATGTATAAGTTTACTATTGCGTATTATTTTTCTTTTCTGATTAAGAATGTACTGTTCGTTTTAGGTTCAACAGCTTATTTACATGCGCTGTTACTTAAGTTTTCTCCTATTTTGACATATTAAAATGTTGTATTTTTGTCTTAACGTAATAAAAACATTTTTATTCAACATTCACCATCAGTGCATGCTGAATGTCGACATTTGCCGGTGTAAGTGAGAAATAATGATTATTTAGCAAATGTTTCGTACATACGCGAAACGACTGTGTGAATGCTGACATTCACCGGAGAATCTCGACATTTGCCAGATATCGGTCATTCACAGTAACATATATACGAAATATTTGCTAAATATCATTATTTCTCACTTACTCCGGAAAATATTTAAAATATTTGCCGGAGTAAGTGAATAAAAATATTTTTATTACGTTAAGGTAACAGCACATGTAAATAAACTGTTGAACCTAAAACGAACAGTACATTCTAAATCATTAAAGAAAATAATACAATAATAAACTTACACATAAATTATGTGATTAACGTTATACAGTCTTATTTATTGCAATAGCTTAAACTGTTAGGCACTTTGAATTGCACAAGAGTCCCTTGCTTTTACAACTGCATTTATTCGTGGAACACTTCTTTTTGCAATGACAGCGTGTATAGCCTTGCCCTCCACTTTTCGAATTAGCTGCAGCTGCTTCTCTCAGCGATATTTCTTGAGAAGAAATATCATCTATGGAAAGTAACTTTTCTTTATAAATTACGAACTGATTACGTTATTACGTGATTATGAATTGATCTGTTAATGGTGTCTTTTATTCGGATATCGCCCACTGACGACCCCTCTCATCCTCCGCCACTCGACCTGACAAACCGTTGAAAAGAACAAAAACGCCATCCAGTGACAAAGTGGGCGGTTTCCACCAAACCGTTGCTGGGAAAAGAGGTACTGTACGATCTTGTCCTACCTCCGGCTACCCACAAAGGATTTGGCGACAGACTGTCCCCTCTCTGTCGACATCGGCTTCTCAGATGTCGTTTCGACCTCCACCAAAGCTTATCTGTGCTTGTCGATATACACCGGCGATTGTTCGATTGTATAATAATATAACCAAATATTCGGTCTTTCACCGGCGTATTTTGTATGTGTCGACATTCACCGGAGAATATTGACATTCTCTAATTTCGGTCTTTCACAGTAACATATATAATACACAGTTTATAAGATTTCCTAATAAACAGTTAAGAGGAATGTTTAAATTTTAAAACTAAAATTAATGTAAAAGCCAGTGTGAATTAATTTTTAAACAAGAAACTTTTCAAATGCTATCTGTTAAATACCTTTATTAATATTACTGGTAATAAAACAGTAATTCTACTGTATTCAACCTAGTTTTGCATCTGATATTCAAAACTCGTTAACTGATTTGGAGTATTTCCAGTTTTTTCCAGCATTAGTTGGGAACCACTCTTCCACTTTTATATGCGGACAGTATCTTTCTTTACACAGTTTCTTTACATGGATTTTCTGGGAACATAACAACCACGTAAAAAACGGAATTGGTGTACTATTTTGTCCTGATTAATAAATTGATGAATTGATTTCTACGGTTCTTTACATATTTTCATTAAGAAAATTTAAAAAAATATATTATAAAAATGTATATTTTTTTTTACTTTTACAATTTTATTCAGTATTATTATTATTACATTTTAAAAACTGTTTTTAAAACTGTTATATTCTTATTTTGTTATTTATTTATTTCAATTTATAGCGTAAAGAAAAGTTCATTGATGAAAGCTTTCCACCGGTTTCAAAATCCTTGTATTATGATCCGAAAATTAATAAAGAAGAATGCCAATGGCTTAGACCTTGTAAAATAGAATCTTGTTATGATGAATCTGAAACAGATTGGGTTATGATTCGATATCCGTTAGAAGCTTCAGATATAATACAAGGTAATACCATGATTTAGCACTTTCTCAATATTAAGATTGAATTCCTTATTGTATACTTAATTAATGCATCTTTAAAAATTTTATGTATATGAATTTTAGATTAAATTACAATCTTTTATTTATTCAGTTGATCCTAATTATTATATGATTACAGTAAATATCTTTACTGTAATCTTTATATATTGAAATCTGTGATTCCATATATAAAAAATTAAATTTTAACTATTCAGATAATAAAATAATAATAATTTTTTCTTGTACTGTTTTCTATTACATTTATAACTTATTCCAATGAATCTATGTCTTTTCATTTCTAATACTGTATATAGATTTATTTCTTTACATTCAACTAACTGTAAATGAAAAATTGAAAAGATATACCAAAATAAAAATGCAAATGTTTTAGTTCTTTACTCTGGTATTAAATTCAGCATTTTCAAACATATTTTAATGACAAATGCTATAAATTATTTCCCACAAAAGCTATTCAGAGTAAACAACACACCATACTGTATATATTCCAGCACGAATACTTATGTATAGTGTGTTGTGTTGAAAAATACTATAATTAGAACTTTTGAAAATGTGATATTATACTTTACTATAATTTAAGTGAAATGTTAGATTTTTACAAAATCAATTCTTCTAGTCAAGAAGTTTTGTGATGATTGAATAAGCCAGTGACGAAATATTATTTGTTTATGTGATTTTTTTTTCTAATTCCTACCTGTTAGCTCTCTTGTGTGATTGCTATGATCGTTTATAATTTTATTGTTATTTTCAATATTTGAAAGAACAAATCATGAGTTTACTTATCTTATGTTTATTTTGGCCTTTTACTGGGAAATGAATGTTCGTTGAGAAATTAATGCAATGAAAAAATTCTGAATATAAAATTTTGCAACGTCTTACTCAGTTTGATATCATTGAATCACTGGAAAAGTATAAATCTTATATTAAGATACACGAGAGAAACTCCAAAAGAAATGCACCATATTTTTTTAAAGGCTTTTAATGTTACAACTCATTATGTTTTAACTACTATAAAAAGAACAAGTCCATGACTCCCTACAACTGTCTTTATTGCACTTCTTTTACGTAAGATGTTGGCCAAACAAAGGACCAGAGTTTCTTTGTTAGCAGTTTTTTTATACCACCATACCCCGAGGCAATGGTATTGCCAATGTATAGAAACCCCGAGGCAATGATTTTGCCAATACATAACAATTTCTCCTCTCTTAATCTGTAGAGTTATAAAATCTTCAAGATACTTTGGTTGACTGCGAATAGCACTTGTCTTTCGCTAAAGTGCTGATTTCTTTAGGGTTAGGGTTGTTTGTTTTTCCGGTTTACTGTTTGTACGGTCGGTGTCTGTATCCTTTGGTAAGGAACGAGGAATTATTTTGTCTTGACGTCGACGCACTGCATCGCCTACAGAAGTAAACGATCTAGGAGAGTCACCAATTTCCGGTTCATTAAAAGTTCTGCTGGAGATTTTCCTGTTTCGTGTGAACTGATTCTTTACGGTTTGAGTAATACTTCTGTTTCACCATTCGACGCAGGGTGATATGGAGAAAATCTAATATGGTGGACGTGTTTTTTTGTAGAAATTCTTAAAATTCTTGACTGACAAAGGTTCTCCATTATCCGATACAATAATATAAGGTATGCCGTGCATTTAGAGTAGATTATGTAGCACAGTGATAACTGTTATAGATGTTACAGAACAGCGGCCGGATGGCCGAGCGGTCAAGGTGGCAGTCCACCGCTCTGGGGGACTTGGGCTCGAATCCGAACGGGTCGAAAAAACCCCAGAAATTTTTCGGGGGTGGTCCGTTCGGATATGTCGGGTCATGTCCCTCACCACCCGGCAGCCCCATTGTGGGCCTGGCCGAACCCATAATGGGCTTGCAAAAAGAGGCCCTCTTAGTGCCCACAGGGCGGAAAGAGTTAAAAAAAGTATATGTTACAGAATTGGTCATTTTTACTTCTGGCCTGCTAAATCTATATGTAATCTAGACCAAGGTCTAGAAGATCAGGTCCACGAGTGAGGAGATGTATTCCTCGAATTGTTTCTTGTTTGTTGACATTCGCTACAATTACTTACTAATTGTTCGATATCCTTGTCCGTCTTGGTCACTAGACATGACTTCTGAGCTTTCGTTTTAACAATACTTAAATAGTTGAATGCAACAATTTTAGTACATTGTCTGTCAATTTCGGAGATATCAAGACTCTAGCTCTCCAAAGGATGCAATCATTTTGCGTAGACAGTTCATTCTTCCTGTTATTATAAGGTTTGAATTTTTCTTCCAATTGAGTTTGCGCCTTCCCTTTTTAATCCACCTTAATACTCTGGATAATACAGGCTCTTTTCCTAAGTGATGCTACTATTCTTGCTTCCAAAAGTGATTGCTGATTCATTTCCATTAAGAATATGTCAGCTGGTTCCGGATATTCACTTTCGCAGGTTTTGAGTGGTAATCTATTCATTCCACCTGCATTTTCTTGCTTTTTCCCAAGCCTTTACACCAAAGTGAAATTATATGATGATAACATGAGTGTCCAACGCAACATACTTGGCGATAATATGGAAAGTATTTTTTGGGGATCTAATAACTCAAGCAATGGCTCATGATCTGTCAGTACTTTGAATACCCTACCTTCAATATATTGATTAAAGAAATTTAATCAATATCTTGAAGGTAGGGTACTGCCTTCAAGATATTGATTAAGGTAAGGTACTGCCTTCAAGATAAGGACAAATGCCAAGACTTCACAATCAATGATTGTAGGCCGGATGGCAGAGCGGTTAAGGTGGCATCCCACCGCTCTGGGGGACCCGGAATCGAATCCAGACGGGTCAAATAATCCCCAGGAATTTTTCGGGGGGTGGTCCGTTCGGATATGTCGGGTCCCGTCCCTCACCACCCGGCCGCCCCATTGTGGGCTTGGCCGAACTCACAATGGGCTTGCTAAAAAAATAGGCCCTCTTAGTGCCCACAGGGCGAAAGGAGTTAAAAAGAAAAAAAAGATCAATGATTGTGTAGTTCCGTTCCGCTTTATTTCACGTTCTACAAGTATAAGCTATTAGCTTTTCTTTACCAAGATCATACTTCAAAGGATCATTTCTGAAGCCTTTCTTTACCATCTATGACGTGGATAGAATGCAGCCGTGTGATAATGAATCACAAGAACAACGGACAATTTTTTTGTTATAATGTACTACAATCAGTAGCGTAGCTACATATTTCAGTGTCTTGAACAAGTAGAATCGGTTCGCCCCTTGTTCCTCGGAAGAGGTCTCGCGAAATTTGTTTTGAACATTTAATTTAAAAACATATATTTAATTATTTCGATTTAAAACCTTACTTAATTTATTTGAGATTCAAGGCATTTCAACAATAAGATATTCAATTTAATAAAAAGTGTTATTATATTATATTAGACTATATTATTATTATAATANGATGACAAAGAAAACATTGTTTAATTTATATTAATATGTATCACTTAAGAAAATTTTAATGAAGATATTTATCTTAATTATGAAAATATAGTAGCATGTTTTTTTAATTTTTGGAACCTAACCCTCCTTTTCGCATAACACGGCAATTTTTTGGAACGTAACTACCGTGTTATACGAGGGTTACCTGCATTTTAAAAAAATTACAAGTTTTTTTAATTTTAAGTTTATTTAAAGACATTTTAATATTCAATATGACCTATGCTGAACGTATACAATACTAAAAACATCCTACACAACTATGTATTATATTGGTACTGCATTAAAAAGATTGGGAAAAGTTTATCACCACACTGGCTTACTCTATAATTCCAAAATTCCATAAATCAGTCTTTTTTAAACTCTGCCCCGTGGGAACTAAGGCACTAAGAGGGCCTCTTTTAGCAGGCCGGGCCCACAATGGGGCAGCCGAACCCAAAATGGTGAGGGACCTCCCCAAAAAATCAAAAATCTGTGGGACCCGGAAACAATAGGCTTTCACCTTGACCTCTCGGCTGTTTCCATAAACCAGTCATTAGGTGTGTGCAGGGTCCTTTGTTTCAAAAATAATTTGGCTTTTTTCTCTCTCTTTCCATTCTGTGGGAACTAAGAGAGTATTTTTTCGTACCTTTCTTGGGGTTTGGCCAGGCTCACAAAGGGGGCTCTAGTTGGTGAGGAACGGGACTCGACATATCCCAGTCAGACCGCCCATGAAATATTCCTAAGAAGTTGCTCGTCTGGATTCGATCCCGGGTTCCCCCAGAAGGATAGGCTGACGTCTTATCTGCCTCGGACGTCGCGCATTGTTCAAAGTATTTGTTTTTGAACAATATAGTAAATTATTAGAAATTATAACAATAACGCTAATACATTTTATTCAACATTACGTGTGCTTCGTGTCTGGGTACTATGAATGTATGTATGTTCATATTTTATTATTTAGTTTAAATAATAGAAGCGTGTAAATCTTTGAACGGTGTTTATATATTTTACGTAATGATTGGCCTTAAGTTTGTTTATATACGCCAACGCGACACGTGGGCGATGCCTCCGGAGGTCTTTACGGGAAACTGGTCCTTATTTAGGTGTTAAAAACGTGAAAAAACCCGTAAAACTCCACATGGCCAGTCCGTTTGCGAGGCGCGAACTCAGGATCATAATTCAGTGATTTTATCCTCGGTGGCGGATTGCTCGTAAGTACAATTTTTCCCAAAATTTCATCTCTGCTAGACATCATTCTAGTAGAGTTTTAGGCCAAGGACTTTAAACTACAAGGATAGCCTGATCCCGTATATTTGTTAGCATGACCTTGGATCTATGTGACGTCACAGCAAGTCCTCTACTTCAACATGACAGACCTTTCAAATAACAAAATACGATAAAATATTAAATCATTTCTTAATTAATTATTAAATTACTACTAAATGTAAACTACTGTAGAATTTTCGGATTTAATAANGAGGCCCTCTTAGTGCCCACAGGGCGGAAAGAGTTAAAAAAAGTATATGTTACAGAATTGGTCATTTTTACTTCTGGCCTGCTAAATCTACATGTAATCTAGACCAAGGTCTAGAAGATCAGGTCCACGAGTGAGGAGATGTATTCCTCGAATTGTTTCTTGTTTGTTGACATTCGCTACAATTACTTACTAATTGTTCGATATCCTTGTCCGTCTTGGTCACTAGACATGACTTCTGAGCTTTCGTTTTAACAATACTTAAATAGTTGAATGCAACAATTTTAGTACATTGTCTGTCAATTTCGGAGATATCAAGACTCTAGCTCTCCAAAGGATGCAATCATTTTGCGTAGACAGTTCATTCTTCCTGTTATTATAAGGTTTGAATTTTTCTTCCAATTGAGTTTGCGCCTTCCCTTTTTAATCCACCTTAATACTCTGGATAATACAGGCTCTTTTCCTAAGTGATGCTACTATTCTTGCTTCCAAAAGTGATTGCTGATTCATTTCCATTAAGAATATGTCAGCTGGTTCCGGATATTCACTTTCGCAGGTTTTGAGTGGTAATCTATTCATTCCACCTGCATTTTCTTGCTTTTTCCCAAGCCTTTACACCAAAGTGAAATTATATGATGATAACATGAGTGTCCAACGCCACATACTTGGCGATAATATGGAAAGTATTTTTTGGGGATCTAATAACTCAAGCAATGGCTCATGATCTGTCAGTACTTTGAATACCCTACCTTCAATATATTGATTAAAGAAATTTAATCAATATCTTGAAGGTAGGGTACTGCCTTCAAGATATTGATTAAGGTAAGGTACTGCCTTCAAGATAAGGACAAATGCCAAGACTTCACAATCAATGATTGTAGGTCGGATGGCAGAGCGGTTAAGGTGGCATCCCACCGCTCTGGGGGACCCGGGATCGAATCCAGACGGGTCAAATAATCCCCAGGAATTTTTCGGGGGGTGGTCCGTTCGGATATGTCGGGTCCCGTCCCTCACCACCCGGCCGCCCCATTGTGGGCTTGGCCGAACTCACAATGGGCTTGCTAAAAAAATAGGCCCTCTTAGTGCCCACAGGGCGAAAAGAGTTAAAAAGAAAAAAAAGATCAATGATTGTGTAGTTCCGTTCCGCTTTATTTAACGTTCTACAAGTAACTATTAGCTTTTCTTTACCAAGATCATACTTCAAAGGATCATTTCTGAAGCCTTTCTTTACCATCTATGACGTGGATAGAATGCAGCCGTGTGATAATGAATCACAAGAACAACGGACAATTTTTTTGTTATAATGTACTACAATCAGTAGCGTAGCTACATATTTCAGTGTCTTGAACAAGTAGAATCGGTTCGCCCCTTGTTCCTCGGAAGAGGTCTCGCGAAATTTGTTTTGAACATTTAATTTAAAAACATATATTTAATTATTTCGATTTAAAACCTTACTTAATTTATTTGAGATTCAAGGCATTTCAACAATAAGATATTCAATTTAATAAAAAGTGTTATTATATTATATTAGACTATATTATTATTATAATATAGTCTAATATAATATAATAATAAAACAAAATATAATTCTTTAAGCACGGAGTACCTAATAATATTTACTACATAGTATAAAAACTGTATTGACAAAATGTATGCAAGTTTAGTTTCATAACAAATACATAATAACACATTAAAAAAATCTTCAAGATTGTTGTTTTCTCGCGTTTTCGTTTGCAAATTGGCCAATCACATTCTCCAGATCAAGTTGACAAGCTATTGTTTTTTCAATTGATATAGCCAAGGAACTAAGATAGTGTTGTGACATGCTGCTTCTTCTTAAATAAGTTTTGATTAATTTTAATTTTGAAAAACTTCGTTCTGCTGTCGCTGTCGTCGCCGGTAAAGTTAAAAAAATGAGGCGTGCTGTAATAATGTTGGAGAACTACTTGAGGCTGCAGTGTGAATTAAAAGCAGTTCGACAACTTCGCGTTTAGAAGTAATTTATTTTACCTGAGTATAAAAAAAAAACATTTTAAATCGAAGCAATTGAGGTCCAAAACTAGGCGAAATGTTGGAGGGATGTGCCGATTTTAAAAATTCTGATCCTTCTAGAATATTTTTGTCAGATGACGCCACAAGATATGCAAGTGATAAACACTTAAAAAGTGTACAAAATTGTCGAACGGATTCAAATCTAATAGTTAATTGATTAATTATTAAAACCAAACATTTTTTACAAATGTTTTTACAAATTTTATTTTGCCTTTTCTAACTTTGCGCCCTCATGATTCGTGCGCCTGGAGCACTTTGCTCCAACTGCTCCACGGTAGCTAATCCTCTGACTACAATTCTTTCTGAAGTCGGCATTTCTTTTGCTTTAGAGAAAGCCCTGTCGTCCAGTTCACTTGGATTCTTTATCTAATAGTCTGTGCAGAGGGTTCTAACATAGTCGTCTTGTTTGATAAGAATCTTTCATAAAAATGAGTCCAAGAAAGGCTTGTAATTTAAGTCTGTTTTAGTTTTAGGTATGGGAGCCATTTTTACTGCTTCTAATTTTTGTGGGTTTGGCGTGTGCCTATCGAGTCAATTGCATAGCCCAGCAACTCTATAAAATTCACATTTATTCGGCTATAGCTTTAAACGAGCTCTTCACCAGTCTCTTCAATATTTATGCATTCTATCATTATGCTTTTCGATATCTTTTCCTTCAATCATTAGCCTATGTCATCCAAATATATTGCTATTCCGAATATACTTGCTAACAATGATTCCATAAAACGCTGAAAAATATCTATGGCTGCCGAGTTCTCGAAAGGTAGTCTGGTTACTTGGAATAGTCCCTTGATTAATAGTGTTTATAGTTAACACCTCTGAAGATTCCCCATCAACTTTTAATTCTTGATAAGTGTGCGCAGTAGCCAACTTTAAAAAATATCTTCCATTTGGAAAGTAGGTAAGGCCGCGTTTCTTTATGCAGCGAGAATGTAGCGAAATGACGTCACGAGCAGCTCGTAACGTCATTTAGAAACAGGTTTTAGAGTGTTCTCTGTAAAGCGCAACTTAAAACCCCTTAGGTCTAAAAAACCTAATGTGTGTTTTTTTAACTCTTTCCACCCTGTGGGCACTGAGAGGACCTCTTTTTGCAAGCCCATTATGGGTTCGGCCAGGCCCACAATAAGGCTGCCGGGTGGTGAGGGACGGGGCCCGACGTATCCGAACGGACCACCCACGAAAGATCCCTGGGGATTTTTCGACCCGTTTGGATTCGAACCCGGGTCCCCCAGAGCGGTAGGCTGCCACCTTGACCGCTCGGCCATCCGGCCATTATTTTAATCCCTTCGCTACCACTGTCCCAGACTCATAAATTTTATCCAGTGGGATGTAACGATATATGATTGATAATTTTAGATACAACTTTTTCCCACAGGTTCTCTTCTGAAGTCATGTTATATTCCCCAGTTCTACTCCAATGATTTATATGACATATGAGGATTGAAGGGTATCCAATTTGGTTAAAGTATTATTTATTTTTTGTTTCGTATAAAATGACTTTGAAATTTTGTCATTTCTTTTGCTAAATACGGGACAAATGGGCGTCCCGACAAAATTTGTCTGGACACCGGGACATTTCTTTAAAAAGAGGGACAATCCCGTATATACGATCTAATTAGCTAACGATCTAATTAGTCCGTAAGTCCGCGATCCGTTTTTCGGTACGTGTCACAATTGAATTTAAATGAATTAATAAAAATCGCGTTAATTGACATTCGCCTAATATAAATGACATCCACGAGTTTGTGTTTAAGTATGCTTATGTTCAATAACAAAAATGTATTAATATAATATTAATATTTAGTACGAGTATTTATTAATACTAAATATCCAGTTAATTAAAACCAAAATTATAATAATTGCATAAATAAAATGCATGAAATACAGATAAAAAGAAAAAAAAAAAATAAGGCCTTGTTTTGGGGGAGTCGAGAACGGATTAATCCATTTTATATTGTTTATGGAAAAATTTGTTTCGGTTTTCGAACAACTTTTAGGAACGAATATCGAATTAAGTTCAAAAACCGAGGTTTGACTGTAGATAGACTTCCAAGCATTCTTTGTACGTTTTCCAAGAACCCAGCGTATTGGGGGGATCAAATTCATTAATACTCCCAAAAGTAGACATATTAATTAACATAACCAGTGGCACACCCAAAGAGGGAAGGGGCCTTGGCACCCCCAAAGTAAAAGGAAAAAGAAAACGTTAGAAAATTTTCCAAAAATCTTTTTCTAAGCAAAATTCATTTATTTATTTATACTGTATTGTGTCATATCTTTTATTTCTATCCTACTTATGAATTAGCAGTCACATTAGGTAGAAATTTTTAATGAATTCACATTAAAAGTTTTTTATCCATTCAACTCGGCTCCCCCTAAGATTAAATTCTGAGTAAGGTAAGGATATCTGTGAGAGTCTAATTTATAATGATAAATGGGATTTACTAAAATTCTTTATTCAGGTGTCACTGAACATAACCCAGAGTCTTATGGAAACACAGTACTTGTGCAAAATATCAGATATGATTCTTGTTGCCAAATATTGTCTTTACTGCAATGAAAAAGAACAAGTTCATGACTTCTTACAATTGTCTTTATTGCACAAGACACTGGCAGACAAAGGACCAGGATTCCTTTGTTAGTCGTTTCTTACACATCCCAGACTCTGAGGCAATGATGTTGTCAACATTATGTATTGACAACATCATTGTTAAAGCTGTATATTCTAATTATTTTTGAAGGAGATAAAATAACTTAATAGATATTTTTATTGGTTTATCAATGATTTGATGTATTAATTTAGTTTAAAAATGAGAAATCACATTATGAATATACATACATATAATTCTTATTTATTTTTTAAAATTTTGCATAGGTTCTCTTGGAAATTGTTGGCTTGTGAGTGCTTTGACTGTATTAGTTAAACAGCCACAGCTATTAGAAAGAGTTATTGTTACAAAAAATATATGTCCAGAAGGAGCCTATCACTTTCAGTTATATAAAAATGGTTATTGGAAATCAGTTGTAGTTGATGACTTGCTTCCATGTGATGCCGATGGATTTCTGCTATATTCAGAAGTAAGTTTAAAAATTGTATGTTTGATCATTATAATATAACTGAATCCAATAATTTATAGTTTAAATATATTAATCTCTATTTGAAAATTACATATTCCTTACATTTATGTTGTTATATATCTATAATATACTTTTATTCAATATAAATAATCTAAGGCAGTATTAATAAAAATGAGTATCTTGTATTTCAGGCATTCTTCTTAAAAAATTTTTTAATTTTAGGAAGATTAATGTTTTCAGGACATTTATAATTCCATTATAAGAACTACTTGAAAAAAATAATGTTCTAATCTCAAAATTCTAAATTGAATATATATTCTTTGAAGTATAAGTAACATAAATTACATAATAAATAATTTCAAGTACTTAAAGTTAACCAACATGGATTTCTTTAAAAAAATAATTAAAAAGGAAGTAATATAAACTAAAAAAGAGGAATAAGGATTTTAGAAGACCCACATGAGCAATTTTAAAACCACTTTCATTACAACTACTGTACCTTGTCCTTGTCTATGACTATATCCATTGATCTAGGCCAGTGTTTTTCAACGGGGGCAATATCGCCCCCATGTAGGCGTTTTTCCATGTTGAGGGGGCAATTAGTAATAATTTATATTTTGGGGGCAAAAACAATTTTCTGGGCGATATAGTAAAACATTATATTAAGAATAATTAGATATTTTATTCGTTATATCGTACAATAATTAAACAAATAACATTATACTAGTCACTAGTTTATTCAATGCAGTATGAATTTGGCGTTAGTCTTGGTCCTCGGCATTGGAATTTTGAAGTGAAGGTGGCGATAATAGGTAACGGTTTTATTGAAGGGGGCAACAATTCGTTAGAGGTTGAGAAACACTGATCTAGACCATTCTTTTTTGTGTCATTATACCTCAAAAGACACATTCGAGTATAAGATAGCTTATTCCAAAATTGGATATGTCAGGCCATTCTAATTTCAAGTATCTGTTGGAAATTTACTTTTAATATCTTTACTGGTGAAAAAGGAATTCAAAACATTAATACTTTAATACAAATATTTTTCATTCACATATCTTTTCTTTGTTGTTCTAATCAATTTTTCAATTGTCTATAGGTACTACTTATTCACAATTTTAGTTCTCATTTTTTTTTATTTAGTGGGATCTGGTTATACTTCTGCTCTTTCTGTTTGAAGTAATTTTTCTTTTTCATTTCAAATGTAGTTGAAGACTGTAGGATGACTTAATTTTATTATTTGTAAATTAGAGTCTGCTATGTTCTTAACTGGTTTTTTTCAATTAAATGTGAAATTACTCTTTTCTCAATCTATGTTTGTTAGGATGTGTTGCCTATTCAGTATGAAAAATATTTCTATTAAAATATTAATGTTTCTGTGTATCTGTAAGATTGTCCTATTTTTATATAAGTAATCTCTTTTCCATAATGGTTCTTGTATGCTTGAAATTAGAATGGCCTCAGTTATTATGAACTATGCCTCAGTTATTAAATCCCCCTCTCCCTCTTCATAACAGTGATATTCATATTAGTTCCAGCTTTAGGATTTATCTTATATATGGATTAACCTGATGCAGGCCACTGAATATAGCCAAAAACATTCATTTTTCAAACAGTGAATGTTGGAAATTGAGAGGAAAGTGTAAGTTTTTGTGATGTTCATATCTAAATAATGGGCACTTGTGTTGTGAACTTGATCCATTTGTAGGATTACCCAAACTACTTTTTTTTTTGCATTAATTTCCATTAAAACATCTTTGTGGACCTCTTTTTCATTCCATAATAAGTTATTGTTGTCAACATAATGAAATACTGCAACAGTTTTTCATATTAAGGTCTCAAGTATTGTAAGATCTGTGAAGCTCAAGCAAATTTCAGAAAAGTTTCTTCAATCTGGAATCAAACAAATTTCTTTCAGAAAAAATGAAAAAATTGTGGATAAATATGTACATAATTTGTTTTATTTTTTTTTCTCCCTTCTGTTTTGATGTGGATTTCTTACTCAATCTGGACTTGTTTGTTTTGCCTTTGATTTTCATTTAGTTGATTATTAGTTTGAGCATTACTTTGTTTAGTTTAATTCATTTTATTCTTATTTTCACTTACATGCTTCAAGTCAAATTTTACAACTTATCTTGTAAAATTATGTACAAATAATAATCTAAAACATTGCAAGAAATGAGGAGAATGCATTTTATTATTTTATTTTACAAAAATAAGAATAAATACAAATACTAAGATCAGATTTCAGTTGTTTCATTTTTCATGCACATTACCACCTAATACAGAAATTCCCAGTATATAACTTCTTGGGCTAAGTTGATTGAAACAGAACATTGGACACATTCAGTGCACTCAGCAGCTATGTAACGGTTGAACAGTTGTGGAACAATGTTTATAATGGCTTGAAAAATCTTATGTAGTCTGAATAACTCTTATGTAAAATCTTATGTAATTGTTTATAGTATGACTTTTAAAATGATTATCAAAGCAATCTTTATCTTATAACTGGACAAGCTTAAATTGTAGATATGATAATTTGGTGATAATAACTGTTATGTAGATGTTTATGTACAGTACATAACAATAGATGTAATCTACTGTTATATAGATGTTGAGTGTACTGGACATACTCATTATTTACCATAAGATTACTTTCTGGTTACTTATTAAAGAATTCTAGTTACTTTTTCAGTCTCATCTGTCACTTGCAGCCTTTAATATGTCTGAATTTCACTGTATAAATGTTTGTAATTAATTTCAGTTCAATTTCTATCTGTATATTGTTTAAATTAGTATAATCGTAACAAAATATTTAGAAACTGTATATTCTTATTAATGAATCCAGAATGATATCATTTTTTATATATATTAAAAATGTTTTAAATATTTAAATTCAGAATTTTAAAATTATTTTTGATGATAAAATTTTATAAGTTCTCAGAATGAAAATGCTGACATGACATTTTGAATAGTTTGTAGCGCTACGCGACTATGTATTGTTATTATATGTATGTATATATATTTTTTGTCGGGTTCCTTTGTGTTTTGTATCGGGTTTTTGTCATTTATGCGATGTCACGTGTGTGTGTGTGTGTTATGATGTCACCGCTTGGGTGGAGCTTTCCGATTGGTCCAAGGTGGGACACGTGGTAAAGCGGACTTCCGGACAGCGGGAGATATAAAACGTGTGAACTCCCGTTATAAGGATTATTCTGGTCTCTGTACCCGTTGAGGAGAGTGGTCGTTATATTGGTAAAAATAAACCTTTTCTTTGTTTCCGTGCACGTGTTGGTCATTTACTGTGTCCTTTGTTTTATTGCCCCGTGGATTCCTATCTACAGCATACTCTACAAGTTTTAGTTTTCTACATAAACAACATCCAAGCATTTTTTGTTTTTCAAATGCTTATCTTGCCACACTAACAGCATGATGATCAACAACAAACTTTATTCATCTTTACATGCACTTAATTAATGATACTAGCACTTCCATATGGGCCCTTTGTGATGCAAGCATGCTAAAATCATGAAATCAAGATAGTTTTTATATCTGCCCATGAAGAGTCATCTGCAAAACATCATGCTGATTGGACTATTTTTTCTCAACGATACATTTTTCTAACATAGGATGTTTTCTATGTCAAAAATCAAGTTTAAATAAAATGAAGAAAAATCATCTTTAGATAACTAACTCATAAGTACACAAAATCTTTATAAATGATAATGTACAGGAATACCAAGAGGAAGGCAAAGGGAGCAAATTGCCCTGGATCCAAGGAAATAGGGACCTCTATACTACGTTTTTTTCATTTTTACTTTACTTAAATATAATAATTTAATTTGCTATAGGACCCCCAATATGTATTCTGCTGTAGATCCTGTTGCCCTCTGGTGGCTCTGAAGATGCAAATTTTATTATTACCAATTAACTTATATTTTTATAACTTAAATTTACCATTTTTAAAGCATTTACAAATTAAAACATTTAATTTTTTACATATAATTTTCATATAATGTTCAATGATAGTTTATATTTATGTTTTTAAATTATATATTGGTGATAATTCTCATTTAAATTGCTTCGTGATAATAGAAAAAATGGTTTGCTCAATTTGGTAATCCATACACTTTTTTACAAATAATACATTCATCAAATTTCAAAAGAACAAGTTTTCTAAAATTATATTAGAAAGTTTGTTCTTTTTTCATTTACTATTGATAAATGATTAGTTTCAATAATTATATTGATTTATATCAGCTAATTATATTGATTTATATTTTTAGTATTTTCAATATTAAAACTTGTAAACAAGTTTTAATATTGAAAACTTTAACATACATGAAATTTTCATAGGCAAAAAGAAAACAACTTTGGGTTTCATTGATTGAGAAAGCAGCTGCCAAATTATATGGTTGTTATGAAGCTTTAGAATCTGGAAGGGTTATTGATGGACTACAAATTCTAACAGGTGCTCCTTGTGAGAATATAATTTTGAACCGTAAGTAATTTTTGATCAAAAGATATGAAATTTAATAGTTAATTATTTAATGGGATTAGTTATTTAGTTAAAATGAAGTTCTAAATTCATTTCAAAAGATATGAATTTAAAATAGACGAATATGTAACTATAACCTCTAAAATATTACTGTATATTGAGATTTATTTATTTTTAATGAATCAATTCCCAAAACCACCTACATTATTACTTTTTCTTCTTTCTTTTAATTTCCATTATTCTATTTAACTATACATAATAATACTCTTCAAAAGTGAAATTTTTTTAGATTTCTTCTTCTTTAGGCCACTGGATAACTCTCCCTGCTATTTGCATTATATTCTTACAGAATGCAACAAATTCTCCATGGGCATGGCCCTGTTTAATGCCAAATCTGTCAGCAGCATTTTGAAGATTCTTAGTTGCCAATCAATCATAATGACAATAATGTGGAATCTTCACTTTTCATTGATGGCTTTCTTTTAGTAGGCTCCAAAAAACTCACCTGCATCAAATGCTGAAACAAACATAAAATTTCTTAAAATGACATCACGTAAACAAAATATTTTAGGCAAAATTATATATATTTTTTAAAGTTTCAAAAAAACCAAATTTTTGAAAACTAAACACTTCTACCCTTTGTGAAAATAATTACAGTAAAAATTTTACAAACTAAACAGATAATTATAATTTTAGCACTTTTACATATGTCAACTAATGAACGACTCAAATGAAAATGAGATTTAAAATCTTCCATAGAATGTAAAGGAACTATCTCTTCTATATATCCTATTATTTTGGCTTTCTTTCTCTTTATATTTTCTTGCATAACTGCTACATTTATATGTAGAAACAATTCGTCATTGTCATTGTCTTCATGTTTCATTTTCCTTTTGTACAAAATTATGCATTGTCACTAAAAATATTGCAAAATACTGTAACAGCAGAAGAAATACTACACTTCTCTTCCACCCTGCTGAGAATGGAATTATGAGAACTAAGCACTTGATACTCGAAGTTGGAACATCATTGACGACATCAAACTGTTGGTTTTAACACTCAACACTCGTGTTGAAAATTGGAATGGCTCATTAGTCTACTGCAATGACGAAAAAGTAAACTAAATACAGTGATACCTCGACTTATGCTACCCCGACTTACGCGAACCCAGAGTTACACGATTTTCAAATCTCGTCGATTAGTCTTTTGTTTGAGCACCATGCAACTCTTGATTACTCATTCTTTCCACACTATTGTTCAACTTACATGTTCGGACGTGTCGCGCGGAATCGACGCATAGCTACAATTTATTTTGTGTTATTTATTTCTGTGTTTGTTATATCTACGAAGACTCGAGAGAATGTATGTGGTGATTTCTTACAACCGCAAACGAATCAAAAGACGAGATAAGATTAACGAGAACATTTATTAGCTTACATACATCCCACTTGGATTTTACACACATTGAGAAATTATACCCCGACTTACGCGGTTATCGCTCGGTCCCACCTATCGCATAAGTTCGGGGTATTACTGTAATTAAAACTAACTAATAATAATCTAAATGTTAATATATGAAAACATTTTACTGCTAGAGGGCGAAAGTTAGGGCTAGAAGAATAGTTGGGAGAGTACAAAGGGGTGCCCCAATCCTTTGTTTGATGAAGTCCATTGAAAAAAAATTAGATGACCAGGTTACAGAACAACTTCAATCTTGACCAAAATGGGGACATCATCATCTCATGAAAGTGCCTCCAAAATTCAAGAATGTCTTACTCTGTATTTAATTTTCTCAGTTTCTCTAGTTGTGAAGATCTCTTGCCAAATAGTCCTCACCTTACCAACACACATCAAAAAACCATCATCTCCTTTTCATTCCTGTTCAAAGTTAGTCAAAAAGTGCTTTCTTGTGGTATATGTACTATGCACAGAACCTGTCAGACTGGTCATATGGTCCTTTTGAACAAAGGAGGGCACTACCCCAACATTGGAGTAGATCCCCTTCAGTAAAGAAGAATGACAACTCTAAAATGGTAGAAGGAAACAGAACAAAAAGTACAGGAAAAGGGGGAGAAAACACAAACTATGGCATGCTTCCACAACATTTATGGCATGAGCTGGCTGCTGGTCTTTATAGCCTGAAACTGGGTACCATGTGTATCAATGTGAAGCAAACTTAATCGTCTGCATATTTCTCACCTCTACCAGTCCTGCTATTTGTGCATAGACACATTCCTTCATGTCTATGTGCATTCCTTCATGCTGTTGCAATTTCACATTTGAGGAGTGTAATAATAATAATAATAATAATAATATATTGAATACATGTCACATTGTTAAGAAATTCCTGAATACAGACACACACACTGACACACTTATTTTATTTTAGTTTTGTTTTGATTGCTATGCCTTGACTCTGGTTCGGCATAGTATACTGCCACCGGTGTGAACCGAGTATAACTCACAAAACCCAACATAATAATAATAATAATAATAATAACAANGTATTCTGTATTGAACAAAACGGTTATACGGCCCGCACTTGTCATTCTTTCAGTTATCTGGCCCGCTGTGAAAAAACTTTGGTGACCCTGCTCTAGAGGAAAGTTCCTTCAGTTCCTTTGAAATAAGAGCTAGAGTGCGATGTCTCTCTCAATCTCTCTCTATCTGCGAGACATATGACTTCCGTCACGTGGCGGAAGCATGGACAGCTATTTCTAATAATTCTGTTGGATGGAATTTTATATATAAGGTGAAAAGTCACCTTCAAACACACTCTTATTCGTGCTAAGGCACTCTTTCCTTGCTTTAACCAATACTCTTGTCTGTCTCCTAGTATTCTACTTTGGCTCGTTTCCAAAAACTCTAAACTCTTTACGATGAACATGTAAAAATAATAGGTAATATAATTATATTATGTAAACTCTGTTTTTTTGTATAAATTTGTTAGGTTAGGATTTGAAAGTGTCCTCCTTTGTATTAATATCGAAACTAAACATTTTGTTTTTTTCTTGTCAGAGTTTTACTTTGAATTTCCATGTAATGTGTATATACGATAACTATAGTTTTGTTTAAATAAATATAGAGCTATATTCCTAATTATCGTTTAATTGATTAATGCCTAACTCTATCGACAACTCACAGTTAAATTAAATCTTTCTAAAATTTCCGTTGATTCGAATACATCTTTTTCCACTCTTAAGTTAAGATAAATTTGCGAGTTAGAATAAGTTTAATCGCATCAGGACAGACAAAAAAGGATTTCACAGATCTTTCTTCATTTCATTTCCATCCTGTATGCGGAACGGGGGGAGTCCTAGAGTCCTTGTATCTCACAGTAGCTACACTAATAGCTATAAATATTAATATATATTATTATAGCTATACGTAGCTATAATAAAGAAAATGGGAAGAAATAGCTCCTTGTTTTTTTCCTATTCCTGTTATAATAAATTAAAAACATGAACTTTAAAAAATGTTAACACTATATTTGTTATACTAAGTTTAATGTAAATTGCATTGATTTAAAGATAAGTGAGAATAAAAGAATATTTGAATATAAACAGATACTAAAGAAAGTGAAACTGATAGATAAATACAACTGGAATATATGTATAATAAATAATAAACATTTTTATTTCTTCAGCATTTGTTCTGTATTGCGAACTAATATTTTTAGTTCTTAATAAAGGATCATCTTCACATTCAACTTATAATTTAGATAAATAAATTGTAATTAATATTTTAATTATATGATTTATTAAAAATTTTATTTAATTAATAAATGAGCATAATTTTTTTTAAATATTTGAATCTGTTTCATACATTCTCTTGTTTAATTATGTAACCTGATATAAATTGACTTCTATAGTTTATTATTTTATACTTTTATTATGTTTAGCATCAACAACTGAAGAAGAAATTGACAAAGATTTTATCTGGGCTCAACTTCTCAGCATGTATTCAGCAAAGTAATGTCACATTTTTAAAATTTTACAAAATTTGAAAATAATGCAATTCTTTGATGATATATAACGTTAATATTCAATCTTTTTTTAGTAAAATTCAAATTTATTTTGTTAGTTTCTCACAAAATTAATTAGTTCATAAATGAATGTTCAAATGTTTTTGAAAAAATTTACTGTAAAATTTCTCTGTTAGGTAAATGTTTTACTATATCATTAGGTATACAAAAAATGACTTATGTGTATTGTCAGATGATTATCAATAGTAAAATGATAATAGATTAAATCATTTTCAATCTATGGATTTTCAATAATGAATAATTAAACATTAACATTAAAAACTACACTTTCAAAATAAAAACTAAAAACTTTAAAAATATTAAAATTTTTAGTTTGTTGTTTTATTGTAAAATAAACTTTTAAATAATATTGAGAATATGCATTTTAATCAATTTAATTAATAGGTTTTTATTTGGTGCAACTTCTGGAGGAGGAAGTAACTCACAATTAAATGAACAGTATTATAAAATTGGATTAATTCCTCGCCATGCCTATTCTGTATTACACATATTTCATGACGATAATTTAAGGTAAGAATTTATTAATTAATTAGAAAATACAGTAAATTTGTTATCTCTATTATTACAAATTTAAATGAAAAATATTACTTGTTTATCATTAAAATTAAAACTGAATTGACATTATTATAATAAATAACACTGACTATAAAGGTAAAGATGTAGAAGAGAGCTTAGGGTTAAAATTAAAACTGGAGCATTCATTGGGGAAAATTTGGCAAGTGGATAGAAAAGAAAGGGGAGGCATATAGAACAAGTGTATATAAGAATTACACAAGATTAATGTATATACACCTTACAATTCTAAAGACTCATATAGATAAAAATAATAGCTTTAATAGCTTGATAACAAAAGCAATTAAACCATTTTTGGATTTTTCAATCCAAAAATGGTTTAATTGCTTTTGTTATCAAGCTATCAAAGCTATTGTTTTATTATACTATTATAGCTATTATCAATCAATCAATCAATCAACATTTATTTGCTATGGCTTTCGCCTTTACAAAGGGGGTTACAAAATTGTGCAACATTAACAGATACAAACATAATTATACATAATTTCAAAAATATTAAAACTTAGTTAATAATGTTATGTTAACATGTTTNGATAAAGAATCAAACACTTTGTAAAAGCAAACATATCCAAAGTGCTATAATTCAACAAAAACAGCTCTCTCAAAAACTCACCAACACTGACGAACGTCGGAAGCGCCCCCATAGCTATTATACTATTATCAAAGCCTTAGATAGAAAAAAATGAAAAATTGAAGGGAGCAACAAAGCATAGAGTTGAGAAAAGAGAGTTTCAAATGTTATTTGTGTTATGTAATTTTTTTCATCTGTAATTCAATATATCTTTCAGGGTTTAAGCTGTTGCTAGTTTTTTGCTAAAATGCTACAAGAATTTAGATTTAGCAACAACTTTCTTGGTATATTTTGCAAAAAAAAGTAATGTTTTTTGAAGTGGTTAAAGCATCATCCCACCACATAAAAACTGACATTTTTAAGATTTTTAGTGATGGAACGATATTAAAATTTCTCCCAATTCTGATTCTTTTGAACACTAGTTCATTTTAGTTCAGAAAAATTAACAATTTACATTACGAGCACAATACATTTATTAATTAATAAACATCAAGCTTAAGAATGGAAAGTGATTGGGAAATCTAGAATTGATCTTTCGAAAGAAACCTGAAAATTCTCCATTTATATGTAGATATGCATGCTTTTATTGTGTAGTAGAAAATAAATTTGTAATCATATTGCAGATAAAGTTAATATTGCAACACTACTCCCAAACAAATTACAGTTAATTCTCTTTTACTCAAAAAGAAAAAACTGTCTCATCATGTCATCTAAGGTTTCATATTTGAAAACTGTTTCATTGGCCAATGTGATGACCAGGTGAGAGGGAAGGTAATGAGAAAATGCACTTCTTTTTTAATGCTTCTCACAATTAGCATGCCTCATAAATGTTGTAATTCTATTGTATTTAACACTAAATGAGGTTTGCAAATGATGCAACAAGTAGAATGAATATCATCATCATAATGAGTTAACCAAGTTTTGAATTCATTCACTCAAGCCAGGTTTTCCTAAATGTAAAATTGCATGTACTCATAGAAGAATCAAATGAATGTCTAGACTGATTCATCTTGAAAAATCAATTTTTAAAACTCAAAACAGCAGTAAATTTAGCATGAACAATTAATTATTTTTATTTAAAATCACGTGAAACCCATTCAAAAATTTAATGTATTACAGCATCATTTGTAAATCACAATAAAAACTTTGTTAATTATAATGGGAAAAACATTTTTATATAAGCTGACTCTAATTTAGCTTGAACAACACCTTAAATACTTTTTCAGCAACACTTTAATATCTACAAAAGAATGTTTTCAACTTCTTTTGACAGGTCTGTGTCAGGTTTAACGAAAAGATTTGAACTGTCTAAGATTTGAACTGTCTTAAACAGTGTAAATCTTCTTGTTAAACTTGATGCAGACCTGTGAAAAGGGTCGAAAACATTTGTTTAAACAAATTAGAGCTGCTGAAAAAATATTTAAGGTATATCTTTACTTATAATTATAAAAGCTGTTTAGGCTTTTAAGTAAAGATAATAATATTAAAAATAATCTTAATTTTATATTTTAATTTCAATTAAAATATAATTGGGCTGCAATTTGAAAATTGTAGACCTATAAATTTCCACTATCATCTGTCCGTCCGTCTTTCCTTAATCTTGAGAACGAAGTTAGGTAGATGAAAGACAAGACCAGATATGGAAACCATAGGGGTAGGAGGCCCCGATTAACTATATAAGAATTTCTGATACAAACTGGAAGTCATGTTATTTCAATTGAAAAATTTTCCCTGAAAGGTGTAAGATGACCTGCATGACTCCATTGCTAATGGAAAAGTATAATGTACAGGGGAAGCCACTACTAATTTTAGGTAGAGAGCAAATATTTTAAATTAAGTAAATTAAAAATATGATTAAATTTGCAGCCCAGCATTGTGATATTATCACAAAAAATAATTGCTTGTTTTGTTTTATTTAAACTGTTTTGTTAAACACTTAAATATTTTTGTTGACCGCTGGCCTCGATTAAAATTGCCAGCCAAAATGATCTAATACCGGTTGGGTGGCAACCTAATGTCATCCTATATCTCCTAAAATGGAAAGTTAGTAAAGTGCAATCTCTCATCTCTCTGACTACACGAAAGAAAAGCCCATCTTGATAGACACCACCTCATGTATTGGGCATCATGTATTCTCTGCTTTGTAGGCATGAAAGTTTTCAATAAACAAATATTTAATTGTTAATATTGTAATTTTAAAAACACAATTTCTGATGGAGTGGGATTTATTTTAAAGATTTGCTGCTGTCAGGTGTAAGGATATGTTATTGGCTAAAGTTTATGATAGTCATAAATGACCTCTCAGATTACCCTCATATATCAATAATTATTGAATTTATTCTTTCACACCCAGTGCACACTGTTGAGCTGTTGAGTGTGAAAGGTTTTGGTGATATGACATTAACAAAACTCCAATTGTAAACTGTCTTGATGTAAAAAATGTCAACAACTTATTAATCATCTCTATAAATGGTCCCCCAAGATGGGAATTTGATTTTCATTCAGCATTCATTGCCTGGTGTGAATCAAAACAAAGAAGAATTGTTCAATAATGTATGATACTTGTAACATTAGATTTATAGTTATCTTGGTAATACAGTACACTGTAATAATGTACAGTACAGTATCCATGAGAGTAAACAAATGTTTAAACAATAATGTATTGTATGTTCTGGGCAGCCTCATGGATGAGAAATGTTAGCTAGTTTATAAAATTTTGCTACAATTTTTTTAGTAAAATTAGCTAAAATGCTACAAAAAATTTTTTTCTTGCTTAAACCCTTTTTATTAATTATTTATCACTTTATGAATTTTATAGATTGTTATGTTTAAGAAATCCTTGGGCTAATTATGTTTGGAAAGGAAACTGGTCAACTCACTCAAGACTGTGGACTTCTAAGTTAAGGAAAAAATTAATGCCTTCGGATAGTGATGAAAGCAGTTTTTGGATATCATTTGAAGATGTATTGAAGTCAGTAGTTATTAGAATAGTATTTTTTTTATATAGCTATTTTACTTATTGATCTCTATAAGGAGGTATATCAATTCACCCCAACATTTGCTTTTTTTATTATTTATCATCATTATTTCATCAATTTCCATAAGTGTATTGGGAATTTTCTTCTTTTCTTCAGTATGATATTTAGAGAAATTTTTATCAATGAGACATCCCTCTGTTAAGTAAATAATTGATATATATATATAATATATGAAGTAAAAAAATATCTTGATAAATAACAAAATACAGTAATATTAAGTTCTTTTAAAGTATTTGGCCACCTTTCAGCACTTTCAGCAAATGATAAAATTCTCTAAGGTTTCCACATCCATATTAGAATTCTCCTCATTTGTGTAATTAATTAAAACAAATACTCACTTAGATTTTTTTTTTCATTATTAAAGTTTTGTTATTTTTACCCATTTGAATTTCAAATATTCTTTCAAACTTCAAAAAGCTCTTTTGAAAAATTTTATTTTAATTTTTTTAAAACTATAATAAACTTGTTAAAAACATTAAAATTTATTTTTCAATTCTGATTCCCAGTTTGTTAGAATATAGAGATCACACACTTTAGGGTTATTTTGAATCTCACACAACCAAAAAATGTATCTGAATACCTTTTTCAACTTGAAGATAATTGTTAAAGGCAATTGAAAACATTCATTTTCCTCCATCAGTTTGTGTTTCATGATTTGCATTTTAGTTGTGTAAGTGAGATTCATAATTATCCAGTATATAGTGCATTTATTACTTAGGGTTATTATTTTGAGTTCATTGGGTTAACTGAACTTCTCTTTTATTCATTTCTTAATCAGCTTATCCTCTCTTCCTTCTCCCTCCTTCCAGGTAGTATTGATGTTCCCTAATTTACAAGGATGTTTCATTTACAAAACTTTTTCCCACCTTTAGTTTATTTTAATCCCTTTATTATTATTTCATCTATTATTAGTTTTTGAAGTATATATACTTTCTTTAAAACTTCTAATATACATGTCTTCATAATTTAGGATTTTTACAATAATTTTTATCTATTTTACAATTGCTTATAGTAAAGTGTAAAACAAACTATTTCATGTAACATAATCTCTTGTTTGTATGTAAAGCTGTATAAACAAGAGTAATTTTTGCATTGAACTTTCTATAAATTTTTGATTTGTTGTTTCTAACTCAACAATAATAGTATACGATTTAAATTTACTGGTTTGATAAATAAGTAGAAATTTTAAAATTTGTAGATTTACTTCTATTTCTAATGCTAGATTCTAAATACAGTATTATTGTATTTTAATGCAAACATATACAAAATTAATCTGGCAAGTAAATTGTTATGTAAATAACAGAAATGTATGAAATAATATAATGAAAAAATTTTTAAATTTTTTTGCAATTTTTTTTTCTATTCACTGATTGCATTTGCCAATGTTTTGAGATTGGATTATCACTATTGAGAAAAATGGGTCTGGTAGAAAAGCAAAAATTTGTAGTATCTGAGAAGTACCGAAATAATCCCGATCTTAATGTGGGGTAAGAGTGTCTGAGGATCTTACAATATAACACACCTCAAGGTCAATAGATGGATGAAACAATTTATAACAGTCAATATACATGTACATACATCAATCAACAGCTGATATTGGTTCAATAATTATCAGTCATGCAGTGATTAATAATGCCTGAATGATAACATCTACTCACTCACTAACTAATTACAAATCCGATGGTTAATTTTTACAATTATTTTACAGGGAGAGTATAAATTATTGATCTGATTGCGTACATAACCATGCAATAATCCATATCACATAACAAAAGGGCTGATGAGCACGTGTCAGTAAATGTCACTAACCACCAAAAATACAGTAGTAAGGGACTCTAACCCATAAAGATTCCTCTTCTCTAAACAGAGATTTCGCTCCTCATATTGTCATCATGCTGATGCAAATGGATTTTCTCCACTGTTTCCCTAATCTTCTATAGTTCATCAGTGGCATATATGGCGACCTTTACCTTCTTTCTTATCTTTATCCTCCTCCTTGGTCAGGTCAAGGTGCTCCAGAACATGCAGGTAACAAAAAGATAGCCCCTCTTGTGGGGTCCTTCCCTTTTATATTTCCTGCTGTCCGGAACTTCCACCTCCTATCACTTCATCCCTTGAACAGCCAACCATCAGTCAACCAACAATACCCACCCAAAAGGTGGCGTGTGAAGTTCATGTGTGGAACTGCTGAACTTCTTCAATGAACAGTGCTTTTAGATATTTTTAATTCACTTTCAAACAAAATTTGACAAAATGATTTACCTTGTGATGCAAAGTGCACAATTTGATTATCATCCCTTTGAGATGTGATTGTTTTTTCTGATCAATGTTTAGAAGGTATTGGTGATGATTTTCCCAAAATTTTATAAATTCCAGGAGTAGATCTGTTCATTAAAACAGCAATTTCCTTGACACGACAGCCTTCTGCTTTTAATTTCCATATTCTTGCAATTTCTTCCATACTAAACTCTCTTCCATGTGGAATTTTGTAAAGTTTTTGATTCAATATTCAAATTATCACTTAATGACAAAGTTAAAGTGTTACTTCACGTTATTTATTATTATTTTCATAATTTTAAGTTTCTTATGCTTGAAATTTTACAATTCTGTTTTATTATCTATACTTTTGGGACAGCCAAAAATATACTTTTGTTGTTAAATTACTAATATAATGATCTTCAATTTTAAAATTATCAAAAATCAGTGTAAAGTAATTTGGATATACAAATGAAATCATCCTCATTTCTCTTAAATTCCTAACAATTCTGGAAGGTGGTAAAATGTTGATTATCTATACTTTTGGGATGCACTGTACAACCTATTAGAACATAAAACTGATGTTAAGGTTAACAATAAGTCATACAACTAAAAGAATGCCAACTTACAAATAAATGAAGACTTCCAATCTGAATTTATTGAAGTAATGATAATAATTTAACACAAATTGTAAATAAGATTTTTTTTACCAGAGTTGATGGATATACTGGCCCTTGTGCTGCCAATAGCTGTAATACTACTATTCTGGTTAAATAAATATTGCTGCCACTTTGAGCACTTCGATTGCACGTAGTCGGAAGTTTGGTTGAGTCAGCTGTAAACATTGGAAATTCTTTTAATATATGAAAATTTCTCGTTTTTAACTCATATATTTCTTTTGTCTTTTTTAAAGGACTGCTTATAAATACTATTTTAATCCAGTTTTGAACATTATTTATTTGTAAATGTCGTTAATATTTATATTTCTATTAACTGTCACTTTCACAATTTTAGTCTTTAAATTGATTAGACAGTTTGTTTTTTCTTACACTTTGTGTTCATTTTAAAATATTTTTGGGAGTTTTCATTAAGGGTAAGAAAATGTAGTCAAAAAAGTTTATAGTTAGGCCTGTATATACATTATTTATATGGGATGCCTTCGGGATTCCCGAGAACTCTGAATCAGGAAGGAAAAGGGACTGATGAGAATTATATACATTAAATTATGGAAATGTATAGAAATGTTAAACCATGTGTTAAGACAAGATAGATTTAAAGTATTACAAAGAAGGAGATTTAGGGTGGCTTTGGAGTTTATCAAGATTAAGCCCGTATTTTTTATTTATTTATTAATATTAGGTGAATTATTGTAGTTTGCAGTGAGATAGGAGCTATGATATATGTTATTCACAATTTATAGTGTGTTTATTAATGAGATAGAGAGAAATTAAAGTTTAGCCATTAGCCAAAAAAGTTAGGAACAGGTTCGTGGTGTTGTGTGCACTTATAATCATGAAATGTTCCTTGAGCCTTTGTAAAAACTTGTTTTGTTTCTTTGTGGATTATTTTTATTATTATTATTATTGATCACACATCCATATTTGCTATAATGATCTGTCCATGGTGATTGATTATTTTTTTAGCTGGATTGCTGTTTCAAATCTCTTACTCTAGTCTTCAGTTGCTTTCCTGTTTCACCTATGTAAATTGTTGGTTTATTGCACCTACATTTTAGCTCATATACAAAACACCTACTTTGTCTAGTTTTTCTTTATTTTTAATTTTATTGATATTATTATTATTTTTGATTTTTTTTTAGTTTGGCTGCTAGTACACCTTATTTTTTCAAAACATTTCTATATTTTTTGTATGTACCTTTATTATAAGGGAATGGTGTATATATATTGTCATCTTTTTTATTTTTAACATAACCAATCACCACGGATAGATCATTGTAGCAAATATGGATGTGTGATCAATAATAATAATATCTTTTTCTTTGTGGATTAATTTTTATAAGTTTTTATGAAGGTTCAAGGAACATTTTACGATTATAAGTGCACACAACACCATTAACTTAAATAATGGGATGGAGATAGATGATGTGTGGGCAGAAGTGGTAAGGGCAAAATAGCACATAAACAGACAAAAAGGCTGTTAGAATGATGTCTCGAGGGTAAGACATCAATATAGTGGAGTGCTGTATGTTTTAGCAAAAGAGGTTAGTTTGTTATAATACAAATTACAGCATTCAAATGATTTATAATAATTTTGTAACATCTGTATGTTTCCCTATTGTAGATATGTATTACCTGAAGAGGGGTGCAAGTGAAACAAATTTTGCACCCGAAATGCATTGTAATGTAATAAAGGCTAACAGTTGTAATCCTTAGTAGTTTTGTCTTTGATAAAATGTGGTTATAACTAAAAAACGATGGTTATCTACTGTATTAACCCTTGAAGTTTTTTAATTTGTTAAGAGATTAATTTTTTTTAAATATATATATATATATGGTGTGGTCTTTTTATATATTTGTTATTTATACAATCTAAATATTTATTACTGTAATTTCATTTGGATAAACTGTGAGCTGTCTTGTTTAAAAGTTAATTTAAAAGCAGTATGGATTTTTTAATGGGATAGGTTTATATCAATTTTTAAACTGTAATTATAAATTTGTCAAGCAACTTTTCCTTTTATCTATTAATAATAATAATAATACAGTTGAATAGAAACACATACATCACACTACAGAAGGCCACTCACTACATTGAATATATGTCATATTATTAGGAAATTCCTGAATACAGACACACACATTGACACACTTATTTCATTTTTGTTTTGTTTGGTTGCTATGCCTTGACTCTGGTATGGCATAGTTCACAGCAATCAATGTCAACTGAGTATAACTTACTAACCCAACATAATATTTTGTACTGTGTGTCATTCTCAGATTGTGTTCGGTTATCAAATCTCATAGACCCACCTGTGAGACTAGTACAAAATCTTATACAGTTTGGAGAAATTTTCTGACAATATGACAAGTTGCCAGAATGGTAGCTTTTTGTAAAGATCTATCAAAATTTGAGTGGATGTCTTGTGGCTACACGCCTGTTTTTCTTTTATTAATATTGTTATTATTATTATTATTAGTCCGTATAGTTTTAGTTTAATTTAAATTCTAGAACTTTCCTTCCTTCCGATTTTCTTTGTTCCTTTGTCTCGGATTTCCAAGAACTTGCCTCACCCCTAACCCATCAGGGGGTAGCCTTAGAACAAAAAGACGAAAACGGGGCTGGGAAGAGAGGAAAACAAAGGGTTTTTAGGCATTCTTAGGCCGGATTCGGAGAGCGAGAGACGTGTGGCAGAAGGCTCTGGAACAAAAAGTTGGGGGAGCGCTGCAGAAGGAGGCCGTAAGAAGCGGATTGAGAGAAGAATCTGGTCGACGATTATAAGACAACTCCGAAACGGACCGAAACGGTTCTAAAAGGAAGAACAGCTGAGAACGAAGCCGAGACGAGGAACTGTGGAGAACCAACAGGAAAATTGGGTACCCTCTGTCCTTTAATTCTTCTTATTTCCCCTTTCTATCTTTTCTATCCCTTAGTTTAATTTAGTTTTAAGTTAGTTTAAGTTTACGCGCGCAACTAATTTTGTCGGGAGGTAGTTATCGGAAAAGTAACTACCGGTATATTGATATATCTGATCGCTCGGGATTTTGGAACATTTGTAGATAACAGCGGGAATCCGAACTTATTCTGTATATATATTAATGTTAGCGCGAAATTAAACTCGTTTAATTGGTAAAACGTGTCTGTGTTTTCCTGTCCGCGCTATACATCTTCACAGTCTATTATTATCTTCACACTTTTATGTAACAAATGTGGGTTAACTCCTGTGACAAAGAGAACTATTGGTATGGTATGAACTTTATTCATTTTCTGTAGGTGTTTTACTTCTTGAGAGAGTTCTGTACATTTACTTATTTTTTCTGTATAGCTATCGATAATTTGTAGATTATATGTATTTAGTATAGCAATGTCAACAATATAGGTAGTTTTGTGCACTCTGTCAATGAGGATAATATAGGGTCTATTTTGATGGATTGTTTTATCTGTTCTAATTGTTCTGTCAAAATATAGTTTGTATGTTATATTCTCAAGGATAGTTTGTGGAATATACTTATAATATGGTGTTTTTTGTGGTGTCTAGTGAATATTTTTTTGCTAGGTACTGGTGAATTATTTTAACTACTTGTTTATGTCTGTATAAACAGCCTGTTTTTGCCAAGTTTTTAATCTGCCTGTGATATGTTGTATAGTTTCTTGTGCAGCATGACATTTTCTGCATGTGTCACCCATGGTATCTTTGATTATGTGTTTTCTGTAAGCCCTTGTACTAATGACTTGGTCCTGTATTGCAATCATAAAGCCTTCTGTTTCCCTTGTGGTGTTCAGAGTGAGAGGTACACGATCCCGCAAGCGAAATGGTACAAAAAAAAGAATCTTAACACAAAGTATTATTTTTCTCACTGAACAGGTTTGTTTATTGGATCCCAACTTTACAATTTTCAGAATTTTATACATATACAGGCGCTCAATGGTACACCTCAAAAAAAACAGTTATCTTGCACCCACGTGACAATCTGACGAGGACTGTAATTACTTACACTAACTTACGCTAACTTACACTAACTTATAACTAAAAATGGAAGAATAGAGGATATAGAGATAGACAAGGAAAGAAGTAGAAATACTCTGGTTTCTTGCTATGAGCCCTTGGTTGGAGAACACTTTGGACTAAGAGGCCTTCCCTCGATGATCTCTCTCTGCACTTTTTTGGTCTTAGGTCACTTCTTACTTGTAGACCTTTCGCCTACAGTCTTTTTCTTCGGATTGAGTCGTCTTCCCCAGAGGATCTCTCTCTGTACTTTCCCGTCTTCGATCACCTCTCACTTGTAGACTTTTCATCTACAGTCCTCCTTTTCTTTTTTTTCTTCAGATCGCTTCGTCTCAGATCACTTCTTACTTGTAGGAGCACCTATGTTACCTCCTACCTACTCGAGATCTCCACTCCATCTCCTACCCTTTCTCTCTGTTTTGCTTCCGGGCCTCACTCCCTTTTCCTTTGTTCTTTATTTCTACAAAGAGGGTAATCCTCCCAAGGGCAAAAGGGGTTTAGAGAAAAGAAAGTTCTAGAAGGATTTAGACAAAGAAAGAGGAAACTCTAAAACTAATACATTATAAAATATAGGGAATATATCATATCATGGCTGACGGCCACACCCTAAAGAGATTCCCATTTCTCAGTCAGTGGTTTGATGCTGCCTTACCCCTTACTTACATGTGGCTGTGCAAGATCAGATGTTTACTGTATGGTGGGTTATACAAAGCTATTTTTCCATTCTTGCAATTTTATGTGGGGTTACACTGGTATAAGTTATATGCTGTCATAGGTTATCCACATAAAATTACAATAATTAGCTTTTTCATATACATATATATTAAATATTTCTAAATAATTGAAAAATATGTTTTAGGTATTTTCATTCTATAAATGTATGCAAAATAAGATCAAATTGGCATGAAACTCAGTTTGAAGGCACTTATCCATGTTTTGCTGATCACAGAAATCTCACAGCAGTTAAAATATACATCTCAGAAATAACAGAATTGGAATTAATGCTTTATCAAAATGATCAAAGGTTAATCTTTTTATACTGTTTCATATCAGGATAAATTAAATAATTTATTTAGTCAGAAATAATTTTAAACCAAAATTATTGTATTGATTAAGTAAAATTTAATAAAAACGTTCTAGAATTAATAGATATTATCATCAACCTTGGTAATGTTCATAGTATTATTATGTTGATTGGAAAATAATGTTGGATTTTTTTTAACAACAACAAATTGACTTTTGATCTTCCATTTTTTTAAAAACTAATCTCCTATATACAGGGTGTCCGAGAAAGATCTTTATCATTCTAAACATGAATAATAAAAATACTAACAGGTAAAATGAAATGCAATTTGCTGCAAAAGAATGAAGACATCTAAGAGTTTTTTCTGGTATCAATTGCCTGAGATAGATGGATTAATTGGTCGTGGAGGACCCATATCTTGGCCTCTGTGATCGCCTGACATAACTCCACTGGATTTCTTTTTTGGGGTTATGTTAAAGGCAGGGTTTATCAAATACCTGTTTCTAATATATCTGTTGTGGTGATACACCAGTTATTCTTTTTATATTTGTATTTTGTATTAAGCCTAAGATTAAGTTTCCTCAATCTTTTGTCTAACACTTTCTCAAACTTTCTAACGGTCCTTATTCCCTGCTGGTGGTAAAACATTTCTGAGAAATACAATGAAAAACAAGGGTGTGGAAGTAGGCCCCGAGGCAAGTGAGAGAAAGGGTGAGAGGACTTTGGAGCTAGCATTGGGAGAAGACAGACGAAGAGAGGAGATCCTGGTCGCCAGAACAAAGGAGGACGGTGTGATTCGGCGACAGATAGAGCGAGACATAAAGGAAAGGAAGGAAAATCATGAAAGTTTTCTTTTCATAGACGTCAGTGAAATCTGAGGAAAGGAAGGAAAATCACGAAAGTTTTCTTTTCATCGACATTAGTGAACTCTGAAGAAAGGAAGGAAGGAAACACGGGTACCCCACCAGCAGTCTTCTCTTGTCTTTTTTTTTGTTCTTAATCTTAATATTTTTCTTTCATTCTACTTCTTTATTTAGTATATAAGTTAGATTAAGTTAGGTTAAGATAGGTTAAGTAAGGTTTTACATTGTCGCGAAGTACTGTTGCACTCTCTCTAATTCAGATATATGTTACACGAATTGTATATATTGGAGTTGGGATCACTGAGAATCTTGTATAATTGCACGAAACGACAATAAAACTTTTATTGTAGACCAATTTCTTTGTGTTGTTCGTCCACGTGCTCTCCACACTGTTTTAAAGGAAAGGATACAATTAGCAATCCTCACTGTTACACTGCAAAAGTTAAAAAACATTTGGAGGGAAATCGAGCAGACTCGCCATTGTTCATGCTACTGTACTAATGGAGCTTGTGTATTGTATGTGAATTGTATCCTTTCCTTAAAAACAGATATATATATAGAAACAGGTGTTTGATATAAACCCTGTCTTTAACATAACCCCAAAAAATAAATCCAGTGGAGTTATGTCAGGCAATCACAGAGGCCAAGATATGGGTCCTCCACGACCAATTAATCCATCTATCTCAGGCAATTGATACCAGAAAAAACTCTTAGATGTCTTCATTCTTTTGCAGCAAACTGCATTTCATTTCACCTGTTAGTATTTTTATTATTCATGTTTAGAATGATAAAGATCTTTCTCAGACACCCTGTATATTGGTTTTGGTCTTCCATTACTGTCTTCCTTTGAGGGGAAAAACTCTTCTAATGCCTCTTATACCTCATTCTCTTTCGTAAATGTTTTGCCATTAAGAAACTTTTGGACAAATAATAATAGGAAGATTTTAAGTTAGGAGAATATGGTGGATGGCATAGTACTTCCCATTACAATTTACTCAATTTCTCTTATGTCCTCAAAGATGAACAAAGCATAGTGTTATTTATTGTATTGGAAAACAATACTGTAAGAATGGTGTTGGCTCTGGAATACCTCTCATCTCACTGGGGATGGCAGTTAATTAATCATTGAAAGTTAATAAGTATGCAAATACCTCAACTTTCTCAGACTATCGTCAAGATCTCCTGAACCAGTTAGGATAAAATGTCTTGCATCCTAACTTGCAACTAGACTTTTCCAAATGGAAAGGTATATTAAAGCCATGGCCTGTTATAGTTAAAGGATTATTAAATAATATTGGACTGTCCTCTGGTTATATGTATTTTTTAAGTGAAAGTTTGTTCCTCCTGGACTGTGATCAACAACTGAGAGACATATTGGTTAAAAGATATTCATTATTTGAATGAAAGAGATTGGGACATTGAAATTTTTCTTAATGGAATGTGGACTCCAGTGTCATATTTATTGTCTAATTTGAGTTACAAAATAGTCATTTGCTGCACAATTTAGATAAAAAAAATAATATTGAAAACCTATTTAATCATTTAAGTTTGTCTTGTATGATGTTGAGTGTTCTTTCTGTGGAATGACAGTGATGGATATGAGAAAATACCTTCTTGATTCTTATAATATTCTTTTGGATATCAGAGTTGCTACACTAACATCTGATTTTTGTTATCAAATTTTATTCAGTGACAGTTCTGCAATGTTAACATTATATAAATTATATACATTTTTTGTTCATGTATCAAATTGAAAGTAACAATGATATTTACCCCTTTTGTAATAACATCCATTAATAAAGATTGATTGATTGATAATTTTATTTGATATATGTTTCAGCAATGTGATAATTAACTACAGATGCAATATTGAATTGTGTATATCTGACTTTTTAGAATTATATTATATTATATTTCAAGTACATTATATACCTGAGATTTTATTAAAATATTATAAATAATAAATTTAATACTATTCCCTAGGAATGTAGAAAATTCAAAGAGATCTTATCTAGATCTTTATATCACTGTGTTTCATACATCATCAGGACATATTGGATTATTCAAGGAATGCAGCAGCCATCAAATCAGAAGTTTTGTTGGTTGTAATATCATGTTAGAAATGGGAGAATATGTTGTCATTTGCTTTGCTTTCAATCATTGGAATACAAGTAAGTGTATATTTTGTACTTATTTATAAAAAATAAATTTTATGTAGAAAATTTATTTATTTAACTTTACAAATTTACAACTTTAGCCATTCATTAATTGAAAAAAATCTTGTTAGGTTAAAAGATTGAATAAAACTATAGAATTAATAAGAAAAATTTTTATATATATAATAAAAAAAAAATCAATTTTCCATCAGATTTCTTTAAATTGCTACTAATTAACATCTTTTTGTTAGAAACTATTTCTCAATGGGTTTGACTTTTAGTATTTACTTTATTTACAGAATAAAAATAGTCTTTCATTTGCAGGAAAAATATATTATGGCAATTAGTTTCTGTAATTATTTTAAATTTTATTTTATGAAAATGTTAATTATATTTCCATATTACATGAATCTGTATAAGTTATATAAGTTACAAAATGTCTGGATATAAATGCTTAGCCTAAACTTACAATCAAAAGTGCAAAATTAGCAATAAAAATCCATTTATCCTAAAATTTTGTTCAAATTTTTGCAGACAAAAATTCTTCACAGAGTGGCAGTTGAGAAACACAAATGTTAAGATTCTTTTGAACATCCTGTATTATTTATAACATTAATTTATCATCAAAATTCATAGATCTTTGATATTACTAAAAATGTTGTAGAGTATGACACATCAAAATTTTGTTATTTTGATAAACGACTTCCAACCACTTAACACTGCGTTGAATAATAACAATCCACGAAAAACCTTTTTTTATTTTTTATTATAACCTTTTGTTATTTTGCCGAGTATAAAAAGGTGGATGTAATATTAATATTATACTCATAATTTAGCATTAATAACCAAAGTGTGTTTGTGGCTTCATTTGTTGTCTTTCTTTCTCGACAGATGGTAGTACTTCATAACACATTGTCATATTTATTATTGTTACATTGTTATTAGTAATATTCCTATATTATTAATATTAATAATGTTATTAATTTTATTATTATAACATCTAAAGTCAGATTGTTATGTAGTACAGTGGTACCTCAAGATACGAAATTAATCCGTTCCGATACTGAGATCGTATTATGAAAATGTCGTAAGGTGGATCATCTTTTCCCATATGATTACATGTAAAACCAAATAATTCGTTCCAACGCGAAAAACATTCTCAAATTAAAGCCAAGTAATACGTTAAAAAAAATAACTGTAATAAGAAAAACAAATGAAAAATGCGAACTAATGTAACGTCGTATGGTGAGTTTTTGTTTGTATCATGGAGCAAAAATATGTTGGAATTTCATGTCGTATCCTGAAAATTTCGTATGCTGGGGCGTTCATAACCTGAGGTACCACTGTAGTACCATCTGATCATCATTTGGCATTTCCATTTTCACTTTCCCAGTTCTGTTATATATAATAGAGGTAAAGTGTGGCAATTGGTCAAAAAAATGACTCCTAAGATTTTTATTTTTGGACTTCAGACCTTGAAATGTTGAGAAATGCAAAAAAACTGTTTTTTTTCTGTATGTATGAATGTTAGAGCATGCGTGTGTGTGACATGATTTGAAGCTTAACTCCTGTATTTTTGTTAAAAATTTCTGAAATTTTGCAAGGACATGTGTGTATTAGGGGGATTGATGCTAGTAAATTTTAGTGGTAAAGATCAAGGTCGGGGGGAGATAAAGGGGAGTCATGTGTAGTGCTAGGCACTTGTATTGTTTTATATTTTTATTTTTTTTATTTTTATATGTATGCGTTGTCACGCCTTTGTTCGGGTTATCGTGTTCTTTGTTTGTTCGGTTCAAAAATTTTGTATCGCGCGCCACCTTATGGTGGATTTTGTAAGTGCCATGATTGGCCCCTTTGGTGACCACGTGGAGGCGAAGGGAGGAGCTTGGAGAAAAGGATAAAAGGGGTGACCAGTGACGAGAGCGGAGAGTTGGTTTTGGTTATGGACTGGCTCCTGTGTGGAGGCTGGACTGCGGAAGGACACGGATGAAGGTAGTTGGAAACCGAGCCTGCGACGGACAGAGAAGCAGTAAGTTAGAACGGAGTGAATAGTAAGTGAAGCAATCGGTTTACATCGGACTCGGCGGACTTTAGGGAGTTGTCTGATTTAGGTCAGATAATTGGACACCGTCAACCTGTTGTTCACAACCCATTATTTCGATCCGAGGAGAGAATTTCTTTTAGTTGCCACGTGGTCGCAACTCCATTCGAACATCATCTACTTACAAGGGGGACGACTAGATATGTGAATTATTGCGGTGCGGATCTGCAGTGTAATTCATCTGTAAGATTTTCGTGAGCGATTGATAACGGGGCTTATGAATATTGGATTAGATTGTAATATCGGGAATAACGGAGTTTACGTGAGTCTGATGCTAAAAAGGGAAATTAATTCATGTCTATTGTATGGTATTAGTTATATAAAAAGTTCTTTTATCCCAATTCGTTGTAAAGTCCTCACTTTCTTACTCACATCACGTTCTGGATCACCTTGGTGATCCTTAGGAACTACACATGTCATATCGTGAGTAGGATTGGATTTAATGACAATTTTCCTTGTTATTGGCATTTACAATTTTTTATAAAACCAATCCCTACCCTCAAAATTAAGTTTTTATACCATAACAGATGGCACCACCAAACATTGCCAGGAAAGTTTAGTAACTCATTGCTGGATTTTTTAAAGAAATGGTTTATTTTTGCAAATAGCCCACTGTTAGACAAATTTGCATACCAAAAGTTATCAAATTACAGCATTTCCTGTTAGATATATTGATGTAAAAATGAGGACATTGATGTATATGTTCAGTATTTTCAATCTGTATAAGAATGATGATGATTTTGTTCATATTCTGCAGGAACATGGCATATTACATTCCTAATATATATATATATTTTTTCAAAAAAGTTATAAAATGTAGTTATGTTAAGCATGTTAAAAAGTAAGTTGAATTGTGAGAAATCAATTTTTAGCTGCATTTTTGTCAGACAAACATATAAACCTTACCTTTGATCTGTGCATGTATTTTAATAAAAAATATATAAAAAAGACTAAAATATCTCCACTTTTTCCATGTCCAATCACCAGGAACAAGAGTCTTCCACAGCAGAGACAATATTTCTTTAGAGGCTATGCCTCTACAAAAACATACAAAACAGTCTAAAAGTTTTCTGGTGACAGTTCCAGAACAATTAGTAATACAATATTTCTTTTGTAAAAAAGGGCTGACGAATTTACTGTTGTTGCTGAAGACTGTTCCTGGTGATTGCAGATGGTGAAAGTGAAGACATTTCAGTCTCTTTTATGTATTTTTTTAATATTTTTTATTAAAGTGTAAATTTGTCAGCCCTTTTTTACAATTAGGTTTATATGCTTGAGGAATTGTTGTCATTTAAGTTTTGCCTGCAATTTTTAAATGGGAATTGTTTTTCTAAGTGAAGTAGCATTCCTTTAGTCATTCAAGTAGAATAAGTAATGTTCTACTGTAACAAAATTAACAAAAAGTGCTTAACCAAACAAATTTTCTAAAATCTTAGTTACTGGTCTGCAATTTGAAAAAATTGCTGACCTATAAATTGAATTTCCACTGTTGTCTATCCTTCCTTAATCTTGAAAACGGTGTTAGATAGGTGAAAAGTCAAGACCGGATATAGAAAGGCTAGGGACAGGAGACCCCAATTAACTAAAAACAAACTTCTGGTTTGTAAAGTAGTAACCTTTTAGCAGAGTGGGGACAAAAGAGGCGCGACCTTGTCAGTTGGACCCACGTGCGGTCGGGTAATACCACTTGTAAAGTATTGACTTGTAAACAATGGAAGCGCCGGCTTTGTTAATTGGACCCACCTGCAGTCAGACGGTAATGGTAAGCAAACGAACATAAACAAGTGGCGGATGTTTGTGTAAGCTTCACTCTCGTCGATGACGGCGGACCCGAGTGTAAGCTGTTCGGGCATAAAAAAAGGGTTGTGATTGGTCGGAAGTTCCCGTTCCAAAATCCCTTAAATTGCGGGGCGAACGAGAGTCAAGGAGAGAAGGGCAAGAGACTGATACACGGTTGTCTCAGGCACTTGGGAAGCCCGCTGAGCGTAAAGAGTGTTCTCCTCTGTTGATCTTCTCAGAGACGGGTTAGTGCTGAGACCGGACCGACCGTGCAGTTGAGCCGACTCCACAATCTGATTGAGGTCTCTCCAAAGATTATTAGTTCCCAGACGCCAACCTGGCACGTGAATTCACCACGCATGGTCATCTTGTACATATACTATGTTTTCTAATTTGTACTTTCTACTACTGTAAATAAACTGTAAATATATTCAATTTGAGTGTGGAGGTGTGCTTTCCAACGAACCTGATTCATTACAACAAGTCGTGAAACACAATAAAACGACCCAGCGAGACGGAGTTGGGAAGGAACGGCAATAAGATCTTCACTTGGTTTGAACCAGAACTTGTTATTTCAATTCAAAACTTTCACCTGAAAGGAGTTAGATAGATGACCAACACGAAAAGGATGTACTGTACAGGAGCAAGACACTACTAATTTGAGGTGGCAAGTATATATTTTAAATTAAAGTTAAAGTGCTCGAAAATTAGCAAGTCTAAAAGAGACCAATATGATTAAAAATTGCAGCCTAGCATTGTGATGATGTCACAATAAATAATTGCTCATTTTCAAATAAAATTTGATTAAAAATTTTTGAACAACATGCTTTCTTGACTGATGTGAAATGGTGCAATACTTTTTTTATTTTTATTATAGAAGAGGCTGTCTTTCGACTTAGCCTTAGAGGAAGGAAGAGGTGGGGGGATGAGAGGCAGGGGGGATGGTAGGTGGGGGTGGGAGAGAGAGAGTGAAAGGAAGAGTAAATGTGATCACAAGATTGCCTTGTATCGGCAATTAATAGGTCACAAAAATACAATGGCTACAGATTGCCAATTTGGCGGAGGAGAACAGGAATAAAGTAATATTACAATTTTCAATTTATAAATTTACATGTATACAATTTGGCGAGACAGTTATATACAAAATAATAGTATAGTAATTACAAAATAATATAATTATATACAAAATATATAATTTGGGAAGTACAGATTAATGCCTCTTGTTAGAGGAGTTTGTTTGAAAGATGTTACAGCTGTTTATAAAGTTGATCAGGAGATGGAATGCTTCTTTATTAGCACACAGGTAATCAAGCTTTGGGGGCCAGTTTTGACCTTTGTTGATGCTGTGGCTGAACAGTTTATATCGTTCCGAGTCCAGGTTGGGGCAGTCCAGGAGGTAATGGAGGGAGTCCCCTTTAGAAGTATTGTCACAATCACAGTTTTCTTTATCTCGTTTACCAAAACGAGTGAGATAGGCTGGGAAATTCCCATGCCCTGTTATGCATTGGGTGATACCGTATGTCGGGAAAAAATGGTGGAGCTGTTGGCGGTCTTTGACGGAGGGAAGGAACCTATAGGTGATCCTACCTGTATTAGAGTTTGTCCAGTCCTTTTGCCATTCATTCATGATTTTATCATGAATGAGGCTTTTTACGAGGGTGATGGGTATCTTTTTGAAGGATGGAGTGACATTTAAAGTTGTAACTTCTTTCGCTAAGGCATCTGCCCTCTCGTTACCGGCTATGCCACTGTGGCCCGGGATCCAGTTGAAACTAATGTTTCTTTTCTTGTGTAGGTTGTTGGCTAGGTAGCAGACCCTGATACCTGTTGCCGTCTGTTTAGTTGTTCCGTTGAGGACACTCAGCACATATCTGCTGTCTGTAAAGAAGTCGATGTTACCCTGGTATATCCTGAGATGTTTGGTGATGGTAATAAGTGCTTGTTGCATAGCCCATAGCTCTGCCTGGTTGTTTGAACAATGATTACCGAGTTTGTGGTATTCTTCTTTACTGGTTGTGTTATTTACAGTGTCCCAGATGGTGAAAGCCGCCCCCGTACCTTTGTCATTCTTGGCACCGTCTGTATACACATGCCAATTGACATGGTTTGTGGTGGTGGTATTGGAGAGGAGATTAATCGAGATGGTGTCTTTGGTAGCAGGGTGGTGGTTATATTCAATACTGGAAAATTGGTTATCTAATCCGTAAGCCTGAGTCATATGGATTATGTCTTGACAGCTGTGATGGAAGTCGTCCTGGGTGTTGGTTTGAGCACTGATTGTCTCATTGTTGTTTAGATCTTCATTTTGAATGTTCCATATCCAGCTAATGTACTTAATCTTTAAATGGATAGGAACGAGGTTAGCCATAACTAAGAGGGCATCTGTCGGGGCCGTCCTGTAAGCCCTACAGATCCGGATTGCAGAGTCTCTTTGCACAGACAGCAGTTTCCTTTTTATGCGTGTTAAATTTGCTTTATCCCCCCAAATTTGGGCGGCATAGAGGAGAGCCGGCTCGATGGCGCCTTTATATATGAGTCGACAGTTTTTGGGGCTTAGTCCCCAGGTATTACGCGCGATGTGATGGAGTTGGTTAGCTCTTTGCCTGATTTTTTTACAGATATTGTCGATGTGGCCTTTCCAACTTAGAGTGGGATCTAAGGTGA